TTGCGGTCAAAAAATTCATTGTTTCAAGCAGATTTTTGACGCATGCCTTTTTTTCTACAAAGCCATGTTTACAATTTGAAAGAAGGCTGTTCTATTTTAAATGCATCCTGATCGCTTTTTTGACAAATCCTCGATTATTTTACATGGGATTGAGGTAAGGGAGACTGGTCTGTAGTTTGCTGGATCGATTCGAGAGCCTTTTTTGAACAAAGGCGTTACATTTGCTTTAGACCACGAGCTTGAAATTTCATCATTGTCAAATGACTTTTGAAAGATAAGAGTAAGTGGAGTAGTCATGTAAGTAGAACACGAGCGTAGGACATAAGAACTGACGCTGTCTACACCAACCGATTTGAATGGATCAAGAGATGAGAGCTCCAGGAGAGTAGCCTGAGAGTCAAATGTTATGCTGTTGATGATTGAGTTGGTTCGAAATGTTATGCTGTTGATGATTGAGTTGGTTCGAAAAGAAAGGAAGATTGTCATCAGATAGCTCTTTGCTGCAAAACTGATTTAAATTGATTGTTAAGTGAGTTGGCTATTGTAACTTTGTCAGAGTTAATAATCTCACTGAAACTGGTAACCCGCATATATATATATATATATATATATATATATATATATATATATATATATATATATATATATATATATTATATATATATATATATTTACAATTACTGTTACATTTACTGTAATTACTGAAAGGATTACTGCTACATTGGAATAAAAAAAACACTAATAGTTAAAATTTAGAGATATATTAATATTAGTTTAGTTTCAAAGTTTTAAAATAAAGAACAAAAAAAAAAGTAAATTGGCTTACGCAAAGGCTTGAGTACTTCGAGGTCCGAATAAAAATAAATTTAAATAAATCTGAACAATGCCAGTTGCTTAAATTGATAAACAATTATAAAGTTATATTAAAACAGCTATTATATTCATTAAAACAATATTATACCTCATGTAACTAACGGCCTAAAAACCTTTCAAATATTCTTTATCGTCATTATCAGCTATTTATTAGAAAATAGTTTTCAATTTTTGAAATGTTAACAGTGCAGAAAAAAAACGGTTTAGTAAACAAAGAACATTTCAAGCAAAACTGATTCCCTGTAATAAAACATTGCTATTAAAAAAAATACAAGCACAATTCTGCTCAGCAGCATCTGAAGCAGAAAATAGCAACATTTTCAATATTTGTAAACAATTTTCAACTAAAAAATTTAACAAATTGGAATTAAATACAACCAAATCAAAAACATTTGGAATTAAAAATAACCTGAAATATAATCAGAATAAAATCAGACTTTTTACATTGTTTTACCAATTTACCAGGTTCTAGCCTAATAATAGCCAAACATTAACCCCAGTCACTTACTAATCTTCACAATTTTTTATAGCTGGTATAATAATTCTTTCTAACTTACTGTTTTGACCAATTATCTGTTGAGAGAGATCATGAATGTTTTGATAAGAGCACTAAAAAGACAAATGAAAAAGGAAAAGACAAAAGAAAAAAAAATAAGTGCTGCTAAATAGGGTTTTACTGACCTAGAAAAAGCCAAGGAAAGTTTTTTATCTGGTGGGTTTTAAATTGGTATTATTTTTTTTTGTACTTAAGTTTTTAAATTGCCTTTTTTTTGCAAAATATATGCAAAAAATATTTTTTTCAATAAATATGGTTTTCATGCAATGTTAAGGTGGTGGTAGCAGAAAAAAGGCACTTTTTTAAAAAAATAATAAAAATAATTATAAATTTTTTATTTCAACACTAGAAGCCTCAAGGTGGATCAATTGATCCAAACACAACTCTGACACTTTACTGATTTGTTATTATTTACGGAAAAACTACATAAAAAACACATTCAGAGATGCGGTTATAAATATTTGTACCTAAAAACCCTGTGGAACAATTGAGCCCATAAGAGTAAAAGTGGACCAAGTTCATATTTCTATATTGTTAGAAATAAGCGTTCTTAGTGTTTGCATATATTATAAATCAGCCATATGTAATATTATTGATGTCTAGTATCATTTTAAATCTTTTTTCTTAGACAACAAGATATGTGAAATGCCCAAATAAATTTTTGAATAATTATTAATAATATAATAATAGTTATGGACTTGGTCTATTTTTTCTCTAAACATAATCATCAATTCGCTAAATCATTTTAGTGTAAAATCATGAACAAATTTCATATTATTCGTTTACAATAGCAATTCAAATTAAGACAAGTAGTACAAATTCATACTATGTTGTAAAAAAACACAATTACTATTTACTAATTATCGGCAAAAATAGTCCTCATTATTACAAACAGTACAATAAAAATCACACGAATTTACTGATCACAATCGCCGCTGTCATCGAGCAGTTCATCTTCAGGTACATCCTTGTTGTGACCGCTGTGTTCCAAATTTTAATAGAAGTCATGATAGATGGGAGAAATATACTTTGACAGTTTCATTAGATCTGAGTATTTTTCTTTGCTCAGTTTTGTTGCTCCACAGTACAGTGGAGCCAAACTCACTTCACTAAGATTTGTTTGACGTCCGCGTTTCGCTAGCGAAATGAAACTGAATGATGCGTCATCATCTAAGGGGTATTTAAAGAACAGTTTGTATGGCTCGTTCTTTCCAAGTTGCAGCCATTGCAAATCCAGCCAGTTGACCTTCTGATCACTCTCATCCACTTTCCAATTTGTAATTAATTTCAATAAGGGCTCCACACTCTTGAAATTATCAGTGCTTAAGCTTGCAACACTGATGCGCTTCTTCATAGAGCAGTTCTCGATCAATTTGTACCACTGTTCTGGCACGAAGATCTCTGTGGATTTTGGTTTTGCTCTCTCAATTATTCCAAAAACTGCATCGTTAGGCAAATAAGAATGCCCAGAGACCATAAACTTATGATTCACCAGTTCAATACTCGTCGTCTGCGTCAAATGGATCCATAACAGTGCAATTTTTATATTTCGATTTTGGCCGTCGCACGAGTCGCTGAATGCTGTAATAGACGTAATATCCCTATTTGCCAGATTTTGACAATATGCCAATAAGCATGAACCGATCTCACCTGCACCTCGTGAGGCTGTTCCCTCATGCCATACATTCATCACTGCATTGTCATTTTTAAGGTCATGAATGCCTAGATTATACACTGATAATTGCTGGCAATAATAAACTTCATTGGTTGTAAGGCAAGGCAATGACATGACCTTTTGGAGGTCAAAACAAAAAGATGCATGTTTATCGTCTTCATTTTCCTTTTCAAGTTTTAACGATTGACGTGCCTTCTCTGCTTTGCGCAAATGAATCTCATGCGCTGCTTTTAGTTGAGATTTTTTGTGTTCAGTTTTTTCTATTTCAATGTCTGTTTTAAAAATGTCACATTTTTTGCACGTATCTTTTAGTGGCTGATGGAACGTCAAGTTAAATTCATGATTAAAAATGTCCCGAAATTTCCACTCTTTTTGGGGTTCGACTGAATCCTGTATGCATTTTTCTCTATACATGTCGTACATAGTAGATACCGTCAAATGAGCAGGTAGAAAGCAGCGAGATGCACTGTGACTTCTAGTATAGTGACTTTCGTATGTGGGAAACATGCGAATATGATTTTTAATGCGAGTGATGTGTTCCTCGTGAATGCGTTGTGTCTTGTGATCATATTTTCCTCGTCCATCTTTGCCTGACACACCACCATTCTCCCGTTGGTTGATTAACGCACGATTTAGTCGACCACTGCTAATGTCAAATATCGCCAAGAAGTATGGTTTGCAAGCAGTAACGGGCTTATTATCTGCAAATACAGAGTATACTCGTGCAAAATCCTTTGCATGTTTTTTTTCATTTTTCGTAATTTTGTTTTTTCTTACTCTTGGTCGTCTACGTTCTACTGTTGATTGTTTCACGCTGCCAGCAAGAAACAGATTTTGTGCATCAAAATCTCCCAATTTCCAGAAAATTTCAAACAGAGTTTTAGTCTGCTCTAAAGTCAAATCTTCAGCACATTTTTTTTTGCAACTGTGATTTATTAAATAATGTTCGTTTAATATTTTAGCTTTTTGTAACGTTCCGCCATGTTTTACATATTCGCTACCTGTATTTCGTAAGCGCTTAATCACATTTTTCTTCCAGTTCGTTACACAACGTTTTCGAGGGCGTTGATCGGTTACAATCCGAGATTCAGTTGTTACAATCGGAGATTCAACTGCTACAACCGGTGAATTATCGGCTACAATCGGAGATTCAGCTGCTAATGTAGAACGTTCTGTCTGTATATCTGCTGCTAAGTTAGGATCTGCAATTGTTGTATCTGTAGCTAAAGATCTCTGAACCTTCTTGCACTTTATCAATGCCAGTGACACCATGTGTGCGGCTCGTGAATGCATGTTTACTATTCTACAATAAATATTTTTTAAATACTACATACATTCAGAATATTATTAGAAAGAATAATGTACATGTACACAACATGCATGCAAGTGCTCCCCTAGCTAGATGTTATTCAAGCCACAAAATTGACCTTTCTAAAGAGACTGTAACTTTGGTAGTGACAGACCATTATATCTACTGTCTAACAAATCAATATTTATATTCCTGCTGAAAGCAATTGAACAAATCTTATATTATCGCTCACCAAACTGTTTCAGTTTTGTCACTTTATAAAGTGTGAAAGGGCTGTATACTTCACTATATCTATATAAAACCATAATCAGATATTCATTTAAAGCATCTTACCTGTACAAATGTTATTACCTGTACAAATGTTCTAATATAATAATAATAATTCTAAGAAAATTTGTAGTTTATGTGGTCTTGAATCTTGATTTCTTACATTAATGCACTATCAATGGACTTGGTCCACTATTACTCTCTATACCTGGTGATTTATTGTTAGAGTAAAAATGTGCTGCCCTCTGTTAAATAAGAAATAAATGTGTTATGGACTTAGTCCATTTTTGCTCTAAAAATATAGCAAATTTTTAGCAGTTTTACATACATAAGGGTCATTTGAAAAAAATTGGACTTGGTCCACTTTTACTCTCATAGGCTCAATTGATCCACCTTATAGAGAATATGCATATACATAACAAGTTGGTCAGAGCCGCCAAGAGCCGTCACGCCGCCTGGGACAGCAATCCTGATTGGCGCCCTTATAAAAATTTCCTTATTTGTATGAAGGACCTTTTTTTTATTTGGCGGCCCTTAGATATCTGCCGCCCAGGACAAGCTGTCCCTTGCTACCCTCCCCGTCTCGGCAGCACTGCTGTTGATGTCACATTACTTAGCAGTCTTTCTTAATCTGACAACTCAAACAGGTTGATAATTGTGTATTACTGTTGGTAGCTAGGGTGGTATCACTGTTAGCACCAACTAGGGAGTAAGATTTGTTTCTCTTAACTGTTTAGGTAAAATGTAAAGCAACTTTTATCTCGAAATTTTTTGTGTGACTTTTAAAAAAATGATCTAAGCATTTACATCGGTCAGGTCCAAAATTAAAGAAAACAGCTAACGGCCAGCGTCTGCACCCAGATTATGTTGACATTTGTCCTCACATTGAATCTAACATATCAATTCCATTTATTTGCATTGTAATAAAGTAATGCCTCTAGTTTTTTCTTCCCAACACTTTACTTAGTCGCCCCTTTATGAGTTGTTGATAATAAAATAACAGTTTTCTTCTTCTTTGCATGGTAGACAATCAAGTTTAATGGTCTATTTTTGTTGAAAGTTGTATCGTAAAGTGGAAGTAAATCAAATACTGGAACTTCTTTTTTATTATGCTTAACTGTTCCAAAATGTGACATTTTCTTTTGCAAATGTTTTGTTGCCATATCGACACTTGTAAAAAAGTTATTTGTTGTAACATTATACTAGCGACCTAAATAAGGTTGCATTAATGACATGATCACTTAAGTACCCAAATTTTCTACAGGGTTTTCACCTTTACTTTGATACGGTTTGATATTGAGACATAATTTGGTCTTTAGGTCAGTTAAAATCCAGAATTTGATTCCGAACTTATCCTGTTTATTAAGCATATACTGTGTAAAGAGACACTGAGCTTTAGTTGCGAACAACGTTTTTGACAATCTTGTCAGCACCCATGACATAAGAGCAAATTTATCAGCTCTCTCCGTTCTGAACGTATATCGAATCTAATGTTTTTCATAATGTCTTCAAATCGAAAACGCTACATAATCTATATAAAAGCATCTACTTTGAGTAAAACACGACGTAATTTGAGCATAAAACCTATGTATATATATGTAAGGTAAAAGATATTCATATTTTTTATATAATTCACATCAAAATTAACAGTATTAACTGTTAGTTTCATACATTTAAACAAAAAAAAAAGTCTTAATGCATATAAAAATAAAGTTGGATAAAGAAAAATAAACTGATCAACGTTGGGGCTTTTAGGTATATAAAAAATCTGGGGCTAGTGTTAATGGTATATAGTATTAAAAAAAAAAACACTAATTGCATAAAAATTTAATGATAACGTCAATAATTGTACACGTCATCCCCTGCTACCACTCGGTGTAGTTAAGGCGATTTACAAAATATTCGAATACTTTTATTATGGAATTAGCATGATTTTGTCAGGATATTATGTCCAAACAAAATCTTTAAATGCTATAATTTTTTTCGCTCAAGGTTTTTATAATATTTAAAGAAACTTTTCTTTTTTATATATAATTTTTAAAACCTTTTTACTACCCGTAATAGTGTATCTAAAGAACACTGATTTGGAGTCTTTAGATCAATTCCGCTCATCGGCATTAATATAAATTTAGTTAAAAAAAAATTAAAAAAGTTTCTTAATTTACTACTGAACTAGTTCTAATCGGTTCTGACGTATATTAACTATATATAGTTGTCAAAACTAAATATTTCTATCAATTTTCACAAAAAAAACTGGAATTCCGACCAAGAAAGAGCTTATAATTATGGAAAATTGCCAATAAACAGTCAGAACAAATTATATTGTTAAACTACCCAGATAACACATAGGCATCGGACTGACATCGGCGCGACGTCCGCATTTGATCGTCTAAAGATGTAATTTTTACATACTTTTGATGAGCGGCTGCTTATCGGCACGACGTAAATAAAAACGTAAAAATAACATCGGCACGACATCAAAAATGACATCGGGACGACGTCAAAAAGGCATCAGCGCGACGTTCGCATTCGATCGTCTAAAGATGTAATTTTTACATCTTTTTGATGAGCGGCTGATCATCGGCAGGACGTAAATAAAAACATAAAAATGACATCGGTACGATGTCAAAAAGGCATCGGCGCGACATCCGCATCCAATCGGCTAAAGATGTAATTTTTACATCTTTTTGATGAGATTTTTGATGAATAGCAAAACTTATTTGGCTATTCCTTAATATTTTCGATAAAATACAAAACGAAATAATAAAATTAATAAGTTTTCAGTAACATTTTTATTTTAATGTTAACAAGATGGACTCG